GTTTGACAAACAAACAGCTAAAGGAACGTGATCGCTAATACCTGTTGACGTGGTATGGAATTGAAATTTTTACTATTCCGCCAGCGTGATCTCTACGTGGTAGCGTTTGACGGTGGATAATGCGTTTCCATACGCAAAAGGAACTGCGAACGCTGTTTCGGGCGTGGATACGTGGTTTGGGGATCAAGACCGTGTCATTCGTCGGCACGGAACGAAGTTACACGTAAAAATTAGTATCTTTCGTTGCCGGAGAACGTGAGCGAATGGGATCGTGGATCGTGTGCGAAATTTGCGTGGAAAAAAACTGGCACCGACTGGCTGTGCCACCTGCTATCCCGAAATGCTCGCTAATCATTATATCGATGAACTGAAATGGAGAATATACATACATATATTCGGGAAAGGGAAAAAAGGGAGAGATATCGGACGGCGTACGAACCGTGGACTTTCAAACGTGATTCGCATGGTTCGTTTATTTTTTGAAGTGCAGCTAGATTCTCATGTCAAAAGGAAATTTGGCTGGCAATTTTTTTTTTCTTTTTTCTTCATTCTTTCTGATTTCTGTTCGTAATAAATATCTCTGTAAAGAAATTGTATTAAAAGAGTCGATCACATTTTTCAGTAATTATTTACAAAAAAAAAAGTATATCTATAAAGAAAATATACCTCTTTTCGCGAAGCAGAAAGTCAGAAGAAGGACCGCAATGTTCCGATGACACAAGAAAATCGTGGAAAAGCAGCAGCAGCAGCAGCAGGGTTACCAAGACCGGTGCCGTTGTAAATTTCATCCGACCGATAAAATTTATTTGACCACGGGCCGCGGATCGGGCATTAATGAATTTCCCGATATTTTCAAGGACCGCGGGGTGCCCTATCGGCGAGACGCGAGCCCGGCTCTTTCAAAGCGGCTTTCCCCGCCACCCTTTCCAGTCCAGCGTCGCTCCTAGTATTTAAGAGGGCGTATATATCTTCCCAAGAACAGACCCCCTAACCCGTGGCCGGACGGTTCCAATTTATTTGCAACGGTGCCGCATCTTTCATCGGCCTTTTCGTATTTTCTCCAAACGATCTATGGACCTTCTATTTCTTCCTTTGCTTCTTTCTTGCGTCCAACTTTAATATATTTATACGGAGATGAAAATCGTAAATAGAAATCGT